CATGTCCAAAAATGTTGTATTGAGAATAGTTAGGGTTTATTTTTAGAGAAACCTGTCAAATCGCCTAGCATCGTACATTATAATCACTGGGGCTTAGCTTAAATATAATAACATTCTATTAATAAAGCTTATCAGTTATAATGGATTGGCATACATTGACAGTAACAATAAATGCCATGGCTGATTGTTAAAAAATTTATCATTTACTGTAATTCATATTCCATAGCATACTTTTTATGTGCCAAGAGGTGCCGCCTAAAAGTTGACAATGGATATAAAAATATCTTATGGCAATACTCCCGTATAAAATTTTTTTATTAATTTATCTCAAATTAACAAGTTTGAGTAATTATAAAAAAATTAATTAAATAACGCAACTTAATATCAAACGCAGCAAATATTTCAAAGAAAATAAATAATAATAAGTCTGTAATTAATAATTTAATAATGTATTGTGGACTTTGGCATATTACTGGCGTACTTTGGTAACTAATATAATTAATATAAAGCTAAGTTCACACATGTTGGCGATCTAGCAAAATATTTAATTATATCCTAAGATAAATGATGAAAAGCTCATAGTTTTAAGATTGATTTTCAATAATGGTCAAATTGTTGGTTATGTAAACAAGTTATTCTCTCTTTGTGAAGTGGATCAACATTTTTGTCAGATAAGTGGCACATGTGGCAGATACTCGTAACAATTCGCGTAATCCACAAATGCGTCAAAACAAAATTAGTAGAAACCTAATATTCGATGTCTTTGCACCTGTTTTTCTTTCTGTGATGTATTGTGTGTGATTTATAGTATATATGTGATGAGTTCCCATGTTGATAAGGCTAAATTCAGTTACATCCGGGATTCGGTTAATCCTGTTTCTCCTCCTTGGCGGACAAGAAAAGTTTTTGGCACGTGAATGTCATCGAATCTGAACAAAGTACATAGGTTAGTAGATATTTCGCTGTTCATATGCGATTATGTAAATATAAAGGTTTTAATGTCCAAACGTAGCAATTGTCAAGGTTAGAACGCCGCTTGTATACGCACCAATCGCGTCATGCACCCATTTGGGTTTGTTCTTCCACTCGACGCCAACGAAATAGAATGGAATGCCAATTAGCGTTATTATCAAGCCCATGAAGACTTCAAATGGTGCGACGTATACCGGAACGACCACCAGAAAGGCGCACACAATGACAAACACGGCGGGTATCCACAGAGAGACCTGTCAAAGAAAAATATATGAAATGTGTACAACTATTTGAAAAGCGGGCATAACTCACTTTAATTGGACGCTCCATATTGGGGCGTGTGTGGCGAAAGTACAAAACAGCCGACACCGAGAGCATTATAAAGAACGACTCTACGATGCTGCTATATGTGATAAGCACATACACATCACTCACAAGCAGCATCACAATCGAGAGCAGGCACTGCAAAGCAAACAAGTTTAACTAAGCAACTTCTTTTGTGCAACAATTATCCAAACGAAACCTCACCAGAAAAGCCAGCGATGGCAGCGGCGTATAGCTCTTAACGCTAATGTGGGATAGCACTGCGGGCATGTGTCCATTACGTGCGCCCACAAAACACATGCGCGACGAGGTCATAATATGCACAGAGAGACCGCCAAATGCTGAGATGGCCACCATAATGGGTATAATCAACGAGAAGTTGCCCATGATCTTGTTGCCAAAAGTCTGCAAGCAACAAAAATGAGGAATCAATAAAATCACATGGTAATTGTTAATCATGTCCTACATACCACTGCTATGGCATTGGAAGCGATCATTTCGGGCGCCGACAGTACGGCCAGATAAGCCATATTGGCCAGCACATAAATGCCCGTGACCAGTGGCAGTGATATATAAATGGCACGCGGTAAATTGCGATATGGATCACGCAGCTCTTCCGTCATAAAATTCAAATAATTCCAGCCGGCATATGAAAATATGCCCGAGTAAAATGCCACCGACAGCTTGCCGGGATCGGTTTCAGTATTCTCGAAGGGTTGATTGAAATTCTCAACATTGCCCATTAGCATCCAAACCACACCGACGACAATGATCAGTACCAATGCCGCAATTTTTGTGAACATAATAATATTTTGCATTTTCGTTGTGATTTTCATGTAATAGCAATTCAAATAGGTCAAAAAGCAAATGGTAACGGCTGCCAGCAACTGGAGGGCGAGTTTTGGTATCTCACAGCCATCATCGAAAAAAGGCTGCAACACGTAAGAGGCGAATGTCAGACCCATTATAGCATTCGTCGTGGGCCTGTGGTAAGGCAGAAAATATTTAGATAATGATATCAATTCAACAAGAAACTGTAAGAAACAGACATACATTAGTCTTAAATTTCAGAAGTATTTATGAATGCAAGTGTTTGGAAATGTTTTCAATTTTATAGCCTTGCAGAGGATATTATAACATTACCGCGAAATGGGTACCACACGCAAATTGAGACATAAAAAACAAGCATATATATATATGCATTATCTATTATCAAAAGCCGAGCCCTAATAGCCACGTTCGACTGTCTGTCTGAGTTAACTATTCATTTCTCTCAGCCTGAAAGCTATCTTGATGAACCCTTATCAATTCTACTTATCTTCGGTACAATAAGTAGAAAACTGAAGTTTTTTGCTCAAAACTATTTTGTTGTCTGAAATATTTTAACGAATCTCGAAACATAGATTGACTACGCTTAATATTAATTAACATTATCAGATAGCCATTATCAAGAAGCCCTTATTGTGTTGCTTTGCAAGGGTGTTGAATCTTCGACAAGCAAAAGAAAGCGGTTCTTTCTGATTATTTTGCTAATACTTATCGAAAACAAGTGAATAAAAATAGCATAATGATAACAATAATAAAGTTGTTAATGCAATCTTGCAGCAATTGACTGCACACATAAACATTAACTGATAAGAGCATTTATTATTCAATGAAAGTGAATGAAAACTGACAGCTTTGAGCTTATCCAGTGGCTCAATGTGGGCATACAAAACTGAGAGACGTCAATCTGTAAGTTTCAATTGATGCCTTAATTGAAACTGAAGACGCAAAAAGCTAACGAGTTGCTGCCACACAATTCTTTGAGACGTTCGTCTGACCCAATGTAATAAGAAGAGTGCTCTAATTGGGAGTGCCCGACTTTATATTGCGCCCTGAGCTTCTTCCCTTGGCTATGTATATAACATGCATTCTTAAATGACTTCGGTGCTTAAAGTCCCACCCTTATGTTAGTTCTTATATATTGAACTGTGATTATATACCAAGGGAAATGGCTCAACCCTTGAAATAATATGTGTGTTCTATTCTTAAAGCAAGCTATGCTTAAAAAAAACGTCTCAAGATCAATCAATAATATGTTTACTTCGTTCTGGGTACAGTACAGCTCGTGCTGTTTCAGAAACGGACAGAAAGGCATGACTACGACCAGCTCGTGGCCCTGAACGTGAATATGTATTATTAATGGTTGTGGAGTTGCTTCCCTGTGCCTGTTACATGCTTTTACACTCAAACACCATTGTACCCTTTTTACCTATATATGATAAGTGTAGGGATTAAAATGAGGCTAGGTATAGGCAATACAATCAAAATACTTACACAAATATCATCATTGCATCCCACAGATATAGAAATGCTGGCAGCGAGCCGTACGCCTCGAAGATGTATGCATAATCCCCACCAGACTTGGGTATAGCTGTGCCCAATTCCGCATAACACAAGGCGCCGATCATGGAGAGCAGACCGCATAGCACCCAGATAATCAGCGATGTGCCGACGGCCTCCACTTCCCGTATGACACCTTTGGGCGAGACAAATATGCCCGATCCAAAGATAATGCCCAGTATAATGGCCACGCCCTCAAGTAGGCCCAACTGTTTTTTCATCGCAACACGACTGTTGTCCGATTCCGCAGATCCCTCCCGCGTGGCATCCTTATCCTTGGTGACAGCTGCCGCAATGCTGGGCGGATTTTCAGTGTTCGGTGTAAGCAACACCATCTCGCTTGACGGTGACTGCAAATCATTGGACGCCATTGTGTTGCGGAGCGCTTCTGCCGGCCACGCACGCTACGCTCCAAGTACAAAACCAGACTGACCGAAAATAAACTGACTTGTGATTGTGTGGTGTGTCCAGCTAATTAATTAAGCTAGCTAGAGGAGTGTCGCCTCGTTGTTCCGTTTGATTAGTATGATTAGGTGTCAGTGTGCGTGTGCGTGTCGTGTATGTATGTTTGCGTGCGTGTGTGTGTGTTTGTGTGCCTGAGGGTGTGGATGTACGGTGTGACATTTGCTAGTTTATAGTGAATTTATGTCTTCATACCCGTACTCGCTAATCCGCCGGTTAGCAATTTTCTTTTCTCATTTCATTCATTGTTTTGCTAACCCACTTCGTACATCTGTCGTTAGCTCTTTCTAACCAATGCCGCGTCGCTCACGCCGTGTTGTAATCCCGCCTCTGTTTCACGCACATGTATTGAATTTTTGCAAAAAGATATAAATTTCGCTTAATAAATTTGTACTCGACGTTTTTTAAGTAACTGTTTGCTGGTTGATTTATTTTAAATATTAAATTATATGTTTGTATTGCCAGCACGGAAAGTTTTAATTAAATAAATAACTTATAAGCAATTTGCACGCGTTACGGAGCACGAAAAGACGAAAAAGAGATTGATATCATTCGATACATAGATATATCGAAATTATGTCTTTGCTATCGTTTTGTGATAGCAATATTATCGGGCTGGTTGTTAATCGTACACCAAACTAACGGCTTTTTGGATTTATTATTTTTGAAGTAAAAATAAACTGGTGGTAAACTTGGTGTTGCATATAAACACACCAAATATATTTATACATTCATTTAAATATTAATGCATTCCATCAATGCATAATATATGCATACATAAGTTCTTATATACACAATACTTATATAAACACATACATACTTTTATTTTTTTTTTGTTGCAAATAGTTAATGCACTGTTAAAAAATTAATTGTATTGCTTTACAAATGACTATTTACTATTTCTTATCCTTAGCTTGCAGTTTGGAGTGAATCATGTCCTTAAATTGCGTTAGTATTTTATTCTCCCGCTTCTGGCGCTCCTCCTTGCTGAACATGGCCAGGGCGCGCTTCTCATCCGCCGAATATAGTTGATTTTCCTTACGTATACGGACAGCTTCCATGCGCCGATGCCGGCTACCGCTCATCACATAGCCGACCGATTCAAAGTTGGCAATCTCGTCCGATGTGAGACCGATTTCACCACGTCTCGGTATACGTTTGCCCTCCGCGATGTAGGCAGCCATGGCGGCACCTTCACCCGGCAGCAGGGCGCGCCCAAAGTCTTTTTGATTCAGGCTGCCGCCGCTGCGCAGGGATGGGCCCACATCCTCTTCGTTTTTGCTAGCACTCGCCTTCGATTTGGACCTGGCTGCACTGGATGAGGATTTTTTGTCGGACTCCGATTTTCGTTTTTTCTTTTTCTTTTTGTTCTTTTTATTCTTTTTGCTTGTGCTTTTCTTGACTTTCTTTTTAGGGGGCATTTTAATACCATCCGCTGTCTTTTCCAGCCAAAGTTCCTGGTCATCCTCGCTCTCGGAACTGTCTTCGCTCGAGGAGCTCGACTCGCTGCTGGAGCTTGATGAGGATGAGCTTGAGGATGTGTCGGATGAGCTGCTGGAAACTTGTTTGCTCTTTTTCTTCTTTTTGATTTTTTTTGCTTTCTTCTTGGACTTGGTTTTCTTCATTTTACTGCTCTTCTTTAGATTTTTCTTTTTCTTGGGCCCCACATAGGAGCCTTTGACTAGCTCCACATCATGGTGCGTCCGTGTTGGACTGGTGCCCCACACTTCTGGAACGCCTTCTTCGCCAATGCGCACACGCTGCGCCCGTCGCGCACTTAAGGCCTTTGAATCCTTAGGATGACCGCCACCCCGGTGTGGGTGATGACTACGACTTGGCCGTTCGGCTGGATCGTTTATAAAGCTGCCTTCCGGTGCACGTCCTCTAAAGGGATTCTTTTGCCTATCATTGTTCTCGTGATAACGATCGTTGGGCCAGCGCTCCACCGATTTTTGTTTCTGTTTGACCGGACTCCGACTGCGATTCTGATTCCGACTACGACCACGACTGCGACTCCGACTGCGTGACGTAGAGCTACTTGTACCACTGCTGCTGCCGTCGCTGCTTGTTCCACTGCTGCTGCTGTCCGTGCTAGATGAGCGGGACCGCGAACGCTGTCGTCGTGGCGAATCTCGTCTCTTTGAATTGCGACCCTCTCGACGCACGGGTGAGTTTTCATAGCCATTTTTTTGCGGCCGTTCCCTTTCCTGGTCTCTGTGCCCAGACTTAGCCGCCGGCTTGTGTGTTTCCCGCCTGTCCGGACGCACGTGGGATCTGCCGCTGTCACGTATCTCACGTGGTCGATCTCTGCGTGGACTGCGTGAACGGCTCCTGCTACGAGAGCGCATTTTATATAGAAATATTTAATATTTGTTTTCTTAGCGCATAAAAATATTTTTCTGCCAAACGTTTGACTCTATCTGTTAATATCGTAATAATGTATCGATAGTTGCAAACAGAATGTGCGATATTTAGATAACTTAGCTTTGTACGATGCCAAAAACATCGATATCTCATTGCTTGCACTTATTTTTACTATTGAGACTAGAACCAAACTTTCCATGTAAGAGTTTTTAAATAAACTTTAAACTTACATACATTTTATAACGTTTCTAACACTACTCAAGCACGGAAATCGAACAATATATCGATGTAGGAAAATGACTTTAGCAATTTATCGATGATGCAAAACATATGAGCAACACGGCTGTTAGGCGAATGTTAATGCGGGGAACGACGCTTACAGCTGAATGGTAAATATCGAACTTCTTCTTGCTGTGTAGTGTGACGTGTACGCGTAGCGAAAAATCACATATTTTTCTTTAATAAATTTTACAATTTCATTTGTTTCACACGTTACTGAAGTAAGCAACACATAAAATGGGCTCATTTCGCCGCGAGAAGGATGAAGAGGAGGACGGTAAGTAATTGGGTAACAACTAAATAATACTAACAGTGCCGCCGGAGCGTTAACAAAACAACTGCCAACACTGCTGACCGCAGAAGGTGCTCTGCTGGCAGCCAAAAAGAGCATAAAACAGGAGTACAACAAAATTAACACACCCACACACACAGTCTCAGAGATAACCCGAAAAACACACATAGAAACTGCTTTAAAGTTCTAACGTTATATATTGCCTACGGCCGGTTCAACAAAAAAAACATCAAAAAATGAAATATTTTATTTCGAACTCGCTAAACAAACGCATAGGTCCGACGAACGCGTACCAAAATCTGGAGAAGACCTCGGTGCTGCAGGAGACTCGCATTTTCAATGAGACGCCAGTGAATGCACGTAAATGCATACACATACTGACCAAGATCCTCTACCTGATGAATCAGGGCGAGCAGCTGGTGCCGCGCGAGGCAACCGATTGTTTCTTTGCCATGACCAAGCTGTTCCAGTCCAAAGATGTTGTTCTGCGCCGCATGGTCTATCTCGGCATTAAGGAGCTGAGCTCCGTAGCCGAGGATGTCATCATTGTCACCAGTTCGCTGACCAAGGACATGACAGGCAAAGAAGATCTCTATCGCGCCGCTGCCATACGTGCCCTTTGCAGCATAACAGATCACACCATGCTTCAGGCCGTCGAGCGTTACATGAAGCAATGCATTGTGGATAAAAATGCGGCCGTTTCATGTGCCGCTTTGGTCAGCTCGCTTCGTCTGGCCAACACCGCCGGCGATGTTGTCAAACGCTGGGCGAATGAGGCACAGGAGGCCTTGAATAGCGATAATATAATGGTGCAGTATCATGCACTTGGCCTGCTCTATCATATACGCAAATCGGATCGCCTGGCAGTCTCCAAGTTGGTCAACAAATTGACGCGCGGCTCGCTCAAGAGTCCCTACGCAGTGTGTATGCTGGTAAGCTGGATGGGATGTTGTTAAATTGCAACTACTAAAACTTATAATATCGCACCCAAACAGATACGTATCGCCTGCAAATTGATCGAGGAGGAGGACATACCCGCCGAGGAGCTCGCAGATTCGCCCTTGTATACCTTCATTGAATCTTGTTTGCGGCACAAGAGCGAAATGGTCATCTATGAGGCCGCCCATGCCATTGTCAATCTGAAGAACACAAATCCACGCATGCTTTCGCCTGCCTTCTCCATACTGCAGCTGTTTTGTAGTTCGGTTAAGGCCACTCTGCGCTTTGCTGCTGTACGCACCCTGAACAAGGTGGCCATGACACATCCGGCCGCCGTGACCACATGTAATTTGGATTTGGAGAGTCTGATTACCGATTCGAATCGTTCAGTGGCCACGCTGGCCATAACAACACTCTTAAAAACCGGCGCGGAGTCCTCTGTGGAGCGTTTAATGAAGCAGATCTCCACATTTGTGGCCGAGATCTCCGATGAGTTTAAGGTGGTGGTGGTGCATGCCATATGCGCACTCTGCGCCAAATATCCACGTAAGCATACAGTTCTGATGAACTTCTTGAGCGGTATGCTGCGAGAGGAGGGCGGTCTGGAGTACAAGACATCAATTGTGGACACCATTATAACGATCATCGAGGAGAATGCCGATGCCAAGGAGTCGGGTCTGTCGCATCTGTGCGAGTTTATTGAAGATTGCGAGCATGTTTCGCTGGCCGTACGCATTTTGCATTTGCTTGGCAAGGAAGGTCCATTTGCGGCCACGCCCTCCAAGTACATACGCTTCATCTATAATCGCGTCATCCTTGAAAGCCCCATTGTGCGCGCTGCTGCGGTGACTGCATTGGCCCAATTCGGCGCCTCGTGTCCCGCTCTGCTGGCCAACATATTGGTGTTACTGGGACGCTGCCAAATGGATCCGGATGATGAGGTGCGCGATCGTGCCACCTACTATCTAAGCATACTTAACTCGGCCAAGCCGGAGCTCTACAAGAACTACATCATTGAGCGCGAGAATTGCTCAATAGCGCTGCTCGAGAAGGCGCTGACGGATCATTTAAATGGCGAACTTCAAAATCACTTTGACATTTCCATTGTGCCCAAGGCCGCTATTGTTAAGCCAGAGGTCACCAACGATGTGATGATGGTCACCAGTGCGCCGCGTGCACCAAAAATTACGCGAGAGGAGGAGAGCGCCGCACGTTTGGCTCAGCTGCCGGGCATACAAGTTCTGGGTCCCATTCATCGCAGCACAGCGCCCATACAGCTAACCGAGAGCGAAACAGAGTATACGGTTCAGTGTATAAAGCATATCTTTGCACAGCATGTTGTATTCCAATTTGATTGCCTTAACACGCTCGCCGAACAATTCCTGGAGAATGTGCGCGTCGAGCTGACGCTACCCGAGGGCTATACGGCCCGTGCCGTCTTATCCTGTCCCAAATTGGCCTACAACGAATTACAGACAACATACGTAATTGTCGAATTTCCGCCGGATGCCAGCAGTTCCATAGGTATAGTCCTAGCTGAACTTTCTGTAATAGTCAATTTTTGAATTTTCCTTTTTTTTTTTAACAGCTACATTTGGCGCCACTTTGCGATTTGTGGTCAAGGATTGCGATCCAAATACTGGCGAGCCAGACTCGGATGAGGGCTACGATGATGAGTATATGCTGGAGGACTTAGACATCACAGTCGCCGACCAAATACAGAAAACGAAAAAGAACAACTTCCAGGTGGCCTGGGATGCGGCCGATAGTGAGGGTCAGTTTTTTATATATATATTTAATTTTATGACCAGGCAGAGTGCTTGTCATGAAATGTATACGCGAATGGCAGCAGACAGCCTTGACACCATAAAGTATATACATTATAGACCTGTACCACTAACTAATTCGATATACCCATGTCCATCTGCTATTTGTTTATATGCAATCTTAATAATATTAGGCAAAGAACCGAATCATTTTTGTTTCCAAGATATCCCGATTATTTTACAAATTTATAAAAGTACACCAAATTTAGCATGTAAGCTCTCATAAAGCATACACAGATCTTGAATGTTTCACTTTTTGGTTTGATGGAAGTAACATCAAAGATAATCACGTCCGTCGCTTGGCTTAAGCATTCTTACTTTTAACCTAACATTATTCTTTCATTTCTTACAGAGTGGCTACAAGCCGAAGACACCTTTGTACTGTCGGCCGTTAACAATCTACAGGATGCCGTCAACACTATTCTTAAAATACTTGGCCTAGGCGCTGCAAATCTTTCCGAAAAAGTGCCCGAGGGCACGCATCTGCACACCGTACACTGCTCTGGTATGATAAAAGCAACTATTTAACCTGCATTTGATAATAATTCTAATTATTTTACAGGCACCTTCCGTGGCGGCGTTGAGGTGCTGGTGCGTGCCAAATTGGCGCTCTCCGAGGGTGTCACGCTGAATCTAACCGTGCGTAGCACAGATCAGGATGTGGCCGAGCTCATAACGGCAGCCATCGGATAAACCTACGCGCCATGCAGAGACTTAATAGGATCTCTGCGTGCTCTGCAAATACTATGATTATGAAAAGTATATTAAAGAAAAAGTTAAATGTAATCAAAAAATATATAATGTAGCTTTAAGCGGCGCCCTCAAAACCATTTCAATTTTCGCCCACTTTTTTGTGAGTTGTCTCCACTTAAATCATAATTTGTGGGTATTGTGTGAGTTTCTAAAAGGGTTTTTGTTGTTTTTCCATAGCAACTCATTCTAGCAATCTATATTATTATTTGTTTATTAAAGATTTAACCTGTGCGTGTTAGTCTAAGTATTGCAAAACTGAAATACAATCACAATATATACAAGATAAACTAAGAAATGGAGTATTCAAACAAGAGAAACTAGTTTATTTTTGTAGCTGCAGAAACTAGGTAACTTCTGGGTTCAGAGAGAGGAGATGCATCCGAAATGGAACACTACAGAAACTGAAGAGTTTCAACATGATGTTCGATAGACTTTTAATACAACGATAATGAAACTTGTAAATGCGGAATTTTCTTAAAATATCTTGAAAAAAAAAGACGCTTATCGTACCTGACAACTATAGGAGACAGTAGTATGATCCTGACAACTCCAACTTATGTACTAAAATCAACTAAGGAACGGATCTATGCAAGGAATTATTAGAAAGCTTTCAGATTAATGGATCAGTTTACATAGCCATTGATGGCTATATGAGAATCGACTTTTGAAAGTGATCAGGAATATATATATACCCTTTGCGATTGAATATTTCACCTTCTATACGCCAACCATCTCGGTAAACAATTTAGTATTGTAACTCAATTATTCAGAGACGACGAGAATATAGGTTTGAATAGCAGGGGTTGGTATAGAAACGTTGTCAAGTCTTGGGCAATAGAAAAAATTATGGTAATTTGTTATTAATTGGTAACTGAAAAAACATGTTTTCATAACAAAAAATGGCATATCTACTTGCATTTGAGAGAAGTCACGACATTACATGTTTTGATTGTATCGTACTCCCCCCACTTTCTCACGTTGCGAGTAAACACGATCAAAAGTTTTCAACTTACTTCGTATGTATATTTTTTTTTTTATTTAATTATAAATAACTTAAGTTGCAATTTATACAATTTTCTCATTTTGAATTCACGCGTTAACTTTTAATGCTTAAATTAATTCTGTTTCGCTGCATTTATTTAATAATTTCTTGTGCTTTCTTTTGTTCGCAATCGATTTCACTCGCATTCCGTGTTCTATATATTGCTTATCGAACTTTAATAATTTGTAAATACCCAATCGCCTTATCAGTTCAATCGATACGTCAATACTCTTTCGCTTAGCATACATATTAAGTATTCTTTCTTTAGTTTTTTTTTTTTTGTTTAAAAAGTTTATGCAAAATTGACGCAAGAGTAAAAAACACCACACGAAAGACTTTTTGTTGAAAACAATTTCACACACACACGGCTAAATTTTGTTTACGTTACAATTTGTATGCTCATTGTCAGATCGATATTTAATTTTAAAGATATCTTATGTGTGTATATTATATATATATATATATGTATAGTATTTGCATGCACTCCACACACACACACTTAAAACTCTAATAATTCGAAAACAAATTGTAAAAATAACGTTTTGTGTTCGCTTCTAAACTGCTTTTCCTTATCATTTTGCTTAAGAATTTAACGTTATATTCATTCTTGAATTTCCCGATTTTTTTTTTTTAATTCATAATTTTGCCTTTTTTTTTTTGTTTTTAATACACACTAGAGTAGATTGATATTGGCTTTCGTTATCGACGTTTCGCCTTTTTCAGTGTGTATTTCAGATTTCTGTTGCTTTTGTTTTCTGCCATTTCCGTTACTTTCTGCTTATCATGCTTTCTAGGCTGACAACAACGAATCGTCTCACATGCGATACAGATATAGATTTATATATATATATATATATATATATGTATACTATGCTATACTATATTACAATTAGCATACATATCTTGTGTTTTCAGTGTCGCTTAAGGTTTGATTTTGCTTTTGTTAAGGATGCGCGCATTGAGCCTGGCCGAAGCGAAAAATCACAACACTGCTCCGGCCACACACATATATATATAGTATATACATATATATAGTGAGTCTTTGCATTTAAATTGAGGGTTTCGTTGGGGACCTTTGACTATTCTGAGCGCATGCGGTATGATGTATGTGGGGGGTTACCTTAAACTGCTTAAACCCTACAATTAAAATAGTTAATGCTTGGATATATTTATACAGAGTGAATGAGTGCTAGCTGGTGGTGATTGTTGTTGTTATCATCGTTGTTGTTCTTGTTGTTGTTGGTGGTTCTTCAGCACTTGAACTTGACCATGGGTATATGCTTGGAAGACACACACTTGTCACAGCACCACTCAGCAAACACCTCCTTGTTGAGCATTTGAAAGGCCGCCTCCGTCAGTCCCACGCAGGTTCTAGAAAATAGAATATCATTTAAATGAAGGATTCATCCATTATCATGATCCTGCCCCAAAGGGTAGGATCTAGAAAGTTGCATTTTTCACATTGCAATATTTTAAATATATAAAACTAAATGGCTGCATGTATTTTCGAGTCGAGTCGCCCGTGCAAGGCCGGGCAATACTTGCTAGTATGCTATATGACACGTTGCTTACCTGTGAAAAAAGAAATTACAACCGGATTCACAGAAGACCGCCTCATCGTTGTCGTTAACCTCCTTGTGGCACATGCCACATGGATAAATGGGCGGCGCGTTTGGATTCTGCGGGTTGAAGACCATTGGTTGACCCGGTGGATACATTTTGCCACCGCTCATTGTCATGGGCTTGCCCATAGGGCCGCCCATGTTGCCCATTGGACCACCCATGGGGCCGGGACCCATATTACCCATTGGACCCGGACCCATGGGTCCACCACCGCCGCCACCGCCAAACATGTTCGGCCCGCCCATCGGACTGTGTCCGTGGCTGTGATGATGTGGGTGTGAGTGTGCGTGGTGAGGTGGCATTCCGTGATGCGGTGGCGGTCCATTCATGCCGCCTGGTCCCGGACCAGGTCCGGGCACACCGCCCATATGACCATGACCCATGTGTGGGCCAGCATTGCCGTGTGGACCCATCATGTGCGGATTACCGCCGCCACCGCCCATATGGGGTGGCATGCCGCCAGGACCGGGACCATGCATGCCCGGTCCAGGTCCCATCATGTGATGTGGAGGTAGACCACCTGGATGCGGATGATGCGGGTGCGGATGATTCATAAGCTGCGGGTGCGGTGGTCCTCCAAGGTGTGGCGGTTGTTGAGGCGGCAGCATTTGATTCATGCCCATGCCCATGGGACCACCAGGGCCGTGACCAGGTGCACCTGGTCCGCCCGGTGGTCCAACCATATGGACGCCCATGGGGCCATGCTGCTGCTGCTGCTGCTGCTGCTGTTGTTGTTGCTGCTGCTGTTGCTGCTGCTGTTGTTGCTGCTGTTGTTGCTGCTGTTGTTGTTGCTGTTGTTGCTGCTGCTGTTGTTGTTGTTGTTGTTGTTGCTGCTGTTGTTGCTGCTGCTGCTGCATAGGAACATTTGGATTCATTTGCTGGCCCATCATGGGTCCATTGTTGTTGCTCATGTTGTTGTTGTTGTTGCTGTTGTTGCTGCCAGGACCGCCACTTAGAGCTGGCGACTGCAACGGACTGGGCCCAGAATTGGGCATGCCCGGACTGGGACCGGCGCTATTTAACGCATGATGCGGTGACATGGCGGGCGGCGCTGGTGAGGACGTAGGCACTGATGTGGTCGCTGTTACCGAGGTTGACGTCGTCGTCGCCGATGTCGATGCTGCCGAAGACGCCACTGGCATTGGACCGTTCGATTGCATTGCATTGGGCACACCGCCCAGACGGCCACCTGCCGCCGCTGGCGACAGATGTGGATGAGGATTTTGATTGTTGTTGCTGTTGTTGGGATTGCTGCCATTGTTGTTATTGTTATTATTATTATTATTATTGCTATTGTTGTTGTTGGCCGCATTGCCACCCATCATGTTGCTGTTGTTATTGTTATTGTTGTTGTTGCTGTTGGCTGGCGACATGCCACCGGGTCCAACTAAACCGCCCGGCCCAGGACCCGGGCCTGGACCTGGTCCACCGGACATGTGACTGTGATTTGTTGGCCCATTACCCAGTGGACTGTGCAGGGGCGGCGGACCCATTTGTCCATTGTTCATGTGCGTCTGTTGCGGGTTTTGTGGCTGCTGCTGCTGCTGTTGGGTTCCTGGTTGTTGTTGGCCCGGCCCGGGCCCAGGTCCTGGACCCAGTGGACTGCCAATTTGATTGCCCATGGGCGAGCCCATTGGCAGCGAGTTCATTGGCGAATTCTGTCCGGGCATCGGTCCACCAGCACCGCCCATGGGCGATCCCTGCATTGCACGCGGATTAGGCCCGTTCGGACCGCCCATGGGTGATAGTCCGCCCATACCCATATGATGTGGGGATATGCTTGGTCCTCCCATGTTGCCCATTGGACTCATGCCGCCCATGCCAGCCATTGCGCCCATTGGACTGCCCATGGGTACTCCGCCGGCTCGACCATGATTCATGTGAGGCGGCAGTCCGACGCCGGGGCCCATGCCATGCGGATGCACGCCAGGTCCTAAGGGGCTCACGCCAGGTCCCAATGGGCTCATGCCGCGCATGGGTGGAGGCCCACCCATATGATGCGGTCCGTGTGGCCCATGGCCCATGGGTCCGCCGCCGGCGCTTGGATGATGCGGATGTGGATGCATATGCGGATGCATGCCCATGCCCATGCGCTCCTCCCAATGCGGGTGCGGGCCAAAATGGCCGCCGGGTCCGCCGGCGCCGCCCATTTGATTCATAGCCGCCATCGCAGCGGCTGCTGAGCTGGACATGGCAGATACCTGGGGGCTGTCATCGAACGGATTGGAGGCGACGATTGTATCACCGAAACCGCCCATCGGCGGCGGTGGCAACAAATCCTGCGGTGTTGGCGGCGCCGATTGTTGTTGTTGCATCGAATTGGCAGCGGCAGCCGCCGCAGCTGCCGCCGCTGCAGCAGCTGCCGCCGCCGAATTGGCCGCATTTGATGTTTTCCGTCGTTTTTTCGGATTACTCGGCGCCGAGATGATATCCGTCGGTGGCGGCGGCTTAAAATCAGGCGGACAGAGACCGCCCGCTGGACCCGGCAAACGATATGGCGCCATACCGATATTGTGGGTCATATTCGAAGTGTTTTTCTTCCGAATGGTGGCAGCTTTTCTTTAACTACGGGGCGAACGAAAATTTCTATCTAATGGCGTCGTCGATCCGCGGGATCACGACGCGTTTATTCAAAATACAAATTGTATGGAAATGCGGCACTCAATGTTTGCTTCCTTTAGCCGAGCGGGGCTGCCAACCTGTGCGAAAAGGAGCTCCTTGAGTGTTCTATAGATTTTAATTAATTGCTGCACCATTTACCACTGCATCCCAATGTGAAAAGTGTCCAAAAAATATATATAAATCTCTGTGAGGACAGAAGCCGCCACAAATGCGACTACCTTGGCAATTTCAGAGCTGGCAACTCTACGCGCGCATGTCGTCAGCGTTGGCAGCGTCTCTGAGCAGCGTAGCGCCAAGCAGCAGCAGCAGCACCTGCAGCACAAATAACACAATATGCGATATGGGCTGCACGTTGCAATAATTCACCGTTTTGTTATTTATTTTTTTTTATTTGATATGATTAATTGATTTTGTTAGACACAGCGATGATTATCTTTTCGTTTTCTTCTTTAATTACAATTTTCTCACTTACTGGCTCTTCTTCTTGCCACCGATTTAATGTTCTTTTTGCACCACCACCGCAAAGCAGCGGCAGCAATTTTGCTGCTTTTTTTTTAATAAATTACACTACAAATTTTGAGCGCATTCTTATGTGCGGCAATCCGAAATGATTTGCACGTTTTTAATTTTCAGCATGCAGTATTGCCGTTTGCGCACACAAATTTCATTCCAGGTTTTCGTTTTTTGTTGATGGCCGCGGTGTCCGACTATATTTTTATGTGTGAATTGGTTGCTGCGTAACCATTTGAACACAAATAACACATAATTTTGGGTTGTTTAGCGGCACACTTGGACATTTGCACGCCGATGCGTTTAAAATTTGTGCGTAACTATAATAATTCGGCAAATTTTCGTATGCGAAGCGTCGTGGATTCTAAAATATAAATAATTTTCCTCGCCTGCCAGCCAAGGTGACCGTATTTCGACAACAACCAAATACCAAAATTCCATTCTTTATTTCATAGTTAGGGTGACCATCAATCCATATGCATGTTCAGCCCATCGATATGCCATTTAGATAATATCGATAAGCAAAAACTTTATACATGTTTATGGCTTACATTAATTTGTAAACCATATAGCAATAACATATATAAATAAATCTGCTTACTATTTGGTCTTCAGTTGCATAAAAAGTGGTTAGTAGCAATTTTATGCCCACTCAATAGAACTATCGAAACTATCGCCATTAGATGATGTTAACTCGCATCTCTATCGGCAAGTGACGCTTACAATTTTGGCGCTGGCTGATTTAAATTTGTTTTTTTTTTTTTTTGTATCGACTAAAAGTTTACGTGCTAAACAATGTGGAGCAACTTTGAAGCATCTACGGTTGAAGATGAGACCATTTCCAACGCATTTTCCTCGCGCAGCATTTTCAAAATAAGCAGCGAAGATGAGGTGAAACACACTTTAAACTAAAAAAGCAATTATTAAAACAATTTTGTTTGCTAGGTTGCGAAATATCCTGCTATTCAAGCATCCGTGCAAAGTGGCAAAATGGTCATATCTATAGATAAGAGTCTGCTGCTGCTCGAGGATGAGCTGGTGGCCAAGTGCAGTTTTCTCAGTTTTGGTGCACAGATCGATGCAATTGCCATATCCAACAGCGGAAATCTGATTGTGTGCGGCCTAACGGATGGCGAAGTCCATGGCGTATATATCAAGGGCTTGCTGCTGTTCAGTGTTTGCATCGAAATGGAGGATGTGAGCATCAATAGCGGCACATTTACAAGCATACAGCAATTGGAACAGCACTTCTACTTTACCTGCAAAAATGGCAGCGTCTATTGGTGAGTAGAAACCGCACTCAGATATGGAGACTATCACGCTCTGCCACTTTCACGTTTCTAGTCTGAGTGAGTTCAACGAAGGCCAGCTGGAATCACTATCCAATGTTACGTTAAATGATAACGAAAACATGGCTGCACTGCTGGATGATATCAGCATTGAGCGCACATCCGCTGGACGTGCTGTCAACAGCGTGGATAGCGCTCTACTGCTCAAGCAGCCGACAGGCCTCGGCTATGCCATCAACAATCAGGAGTCGCTGATTGCTGCTCATGATCTGATTATAACTGCCGCACAGGGCACACTAACTTTCAAAAGCGCTTCCAATGATGTCACTCGCATCAATTTGCCTACGCACCTGGGCAGCATAAAGGACATCTACAATGCGGAACATTATATGTAGGTTTGAGCATAAAAATTTCTGCATATTTTCAATTTAGATGTTCTCCATGCCCGCAGAATTGCCTTGACCCATTCTGGCCACCTGCTGCAGATTTGCCCGTTCACGCGAACCGTCAGCTTGAGTCAGTCGACGTTGAATCGCATGCTGCTCGTCGAGGACATGCTGGTCATGGAGTGCAGCGAGGAGCATGTGGAGCTGTTAATACTTACCAAGCCCACAGCAGATGGCGAGCGTTTCATTAAAATTGTTGAATATCCTTGTAAGTTTTGACTTAATTCGTATTTGATCCTGCTCATAGTACTAGCTGGTCCGTTAGAGGTCGAACTTAAAGAAAAGCATAACGGAAACTTCTAAAAATTCTTTTTGGCCTTCGGGTTTGATTGCGACTTTCTGGTTTTCTCATAAGCAGAAGCGAGAGCGATGCTTAATTTTAAAGTGTTTCCAATATTCGAAGCAGATAATTGCAAAATTTTACTGATTTACTGATCCGGCTCACGATTGATTGTCAACTTTATAGCGCTCAAGTGCAAAAACGAGGTGGAGGTGCCGCTGCACGCCTGGCTCATACGGCAACCGAAGAGCGCCGTCAATTTGTATTATCTGGCGGCCCGGGCGATTAGTGAGAGGGAAATTCCTTCCGAGCTGGAAATGATGATGGTCTCCGAGACAGATCCCAGTGATCGTTTGAAGAAACTCATTGCTAAGGGACGTCTGGAAGAGGCGGAGGTAGCTGCTTGATTTTGTCTTATTAGTACAAAATTAGTTTTTTATTATATCTCTGTTTTTACGAATTCGTTCAGGACTTTGGCAAGCAATTTGAGCTGTGTTTGCAGCCCATCTACGAGGCCAGAGCCAAACGTATTCTCATCGAGCTGTGCACTTCGAATACCCACAATGTGCAGTCCGCCGATCTGGAAGAGAAGTTTCAAATGCTGCTTAAATTGCTGGGTCAGATTGAGAGCAAAGCGTTTATCAAAAACAATCGCATGATTAATTTAAGTTCGCGTCAAATTTTGGAGCGTTATTTAAAGGAAATACAGAAGAGATTGGACTTTGAGGTGAGCCTTTAAACGATTGCCGAAACTCGCTTACATATATATTCAATATTCGCACATAGGAAGATGAGGTGCACATGCTGGAAATAGATGAGCAACTGCATCGCCTCAAAACGCTGGCCATCATTGATCCCTATGAGTGCAACACCGAGTGGCAAAAGTTCGTATACAACACGAATCTAGTGAGGGTGGTCAAGGGCATGTTTAGCAATGATATGCCCTCCGCCTGTCTTATCTGGCGGCGTCACTCGAGCAGCATTTTGCCGCATCTCAGCGAGGATGAATTGCGCACACTGCTGGGTTTTATACCCAGCAATACGGAACCACTTAATGTGGTACAGTGGTTGCGCCAATTCGTGCCCATGGTCAGCAGTACGCATCCAACCATTATGCCGTTTATTACCGACTGGAGCATTGAGATGACCCGCAAGCTGCAATATAGCGAACACTGGCCCGATATTGGTCTCGAATTTGCGAGCAATATTTTAGAAATATTCGAGGAAGTTCAATTTATCTACTCGTGAGTTTTTTATTGCTGATAATTATTGAAACGAAATGAAACTCTTTTTGCTCTATTTAGCCATTTGGGTCGCCAGCAGGAGCGCAACATTGGCAAGCTGCGCGATCTGGTCAATGCTCTCCAGGATTTATCAGTATTAAAAACGAGCTATAAGCTGGTCTTTACACTGGATAACTATATGCAGGATTCCATAGATGACAAAGCTTTGCGCATATTACAGCGCGTGCATTTGGATAATTTACAGAATCTGGTAAAGGATTTTCTATATCCCATCTATAAGGAGAAAGGTCGGCAGCCGTTAAATGTCATCAAACAGTATATAGCTCAATTGGTGGGCAATCGTCAATCGCTTAGCAATTGGTTGGAGCGCGCAATGGCCTGCATAGAGCTGCTGCACAACGAGGACAGTCGCATGGAGTGCGCCCTCTCGATACTACAAAACGCCCCAGTACCGTGGCCAGAAACGCTGTCACCGCTTATTAAACTGCGCAATTCCACGCATCCGCTGAGCGCGAAGATCAATGCTGAATACGAGATACAGGTCATTAAGATCATGAAGGTCAAGTATGGCTGGCCAGCGGATAGCGCGGCTGACATCAATCTGGAGCTATTTATGATGCGCATTGTTAAGCTAAATTTGCCTGACATGCTGGACGATATACATACACTGACAAAAGCGGCGCCAGAGATCTCAACCAGCGCCAATTTCAATTGCTGCTATCAGATGGCGCGACGTGGTCAAATTGAGTTAGCCTATGAGTTCTTCAAGTCGCTAAAATGCAAATATATTGAAAAACAAGGCAGCGATGTTGTTGATATCCTGGCCAATCTGCTCGAGATGAGCTCGGGATCGTTTGTGAATGAAGCCAAATTGCAGGAGCATGTTAATCTATTAGAGTTATTCAAGCTGTTGCTGCCCCATGTGGATTCTGTATACAGTCAGCGCTATATGCTCATTAAAAATTGCTTTCAATTGCGCCAAAAGTTCAATTTGCAGCTAAGCGCCAGCAGTGATCTGATATCGCTGCAAAGACGCCTGGAGCTGCTCGATGAGGGCATCGAGCTGATCATGTCACGCGCTCAGGCCGCATTGAATGTATGCGCTTTTATAGTCAATGAAATGGCTGAACTATGCTGCGCACTTGGTCTGCAAAAGGTGCAAGGACTGTTGCGCATCAGTCAGCGCATGGGCTGTCTGCCGCTCAGCTGTGCGTTGGCTCATCACGTACTGGAATTCATCGACTGTGTGCCAGCGAACAGCGTTGAGTTTATCAACTTTGCCATTGAACTGCTGGTGCAGCAAATTAACGAGACCAAGAATAATGGTCTTGGTAAGTATTTAGTCTATTAATGATGGATCTATAAATAATCGTATCTAGACTCATTTACAAATGTATGTAAAAACAATGTCCACTTTAGAAAAACAAGCAGAAAGCTGATAAAGGATAATTTTCCTACCTTTGTCCGATTGGCTTTAAATTCCTTTGTATCCGTTTTTTTTAGTTTGAATAAATTGAGCGCCACTAACGAAAACTAGCTGGAAAAGTGTTAGTTTAAACTAACAGAAACACATTAAGACTTAGGGAAAGTCAAGTAATTCTTGTTAGTAAACTAATTAAATACTTTGTTTTCTCGCAACAGAGATGTATTCTTCGCTGAAGATGTTGAACGAAAGTGATCCTTTAAGCTTTCCGCTGGCATACGAGCTGTTAACTGAGGCGCTGTTGCACGAGCGCAGTCGCCAGCGTGATCTTAATGAGCTGATTAAGTATGTGCGCGTCGCAGTCATACACTATCCGATGGATGTCATAGAGACGCACTATCTGGGCAAGGAGAAGAGCATAAATGATCAAATATGTCGCGCGCTGGATGGCGCGCCAATTGCACTGGGCGAGACAACGCTAAATTTCTCCACGGCGCTCAATGAGTCTATTGAGGTGAAATCGGCTGTGGAGCAAACGACGAAGAAGCGTTACTCCGTGTCTATGTTCGATGATGTCGATGTGCAGCCACAGAAGCAGCCGCAGCAGAAGGTACAGCTATTTCGCTAAGTCAACTATAAAATTGATAACAATATGTATATTCTTTAGAAACGCATGACCGGTAGTCTGCCCATTGTCAAGTTCTTGGCGCGCACACTGCTTCTGATGACCATTCAGACAAA